TGTTTGTGTTCTTTATTATAATTAAATCATTTAGCAATATTATAAAAAGTCCAGGCAGAGCTGCACATAAAATATAGTTTCAAATTTTTTAAATAATTATCGATATCGATCAATATGCATTTTTTTTTTATCGATAAGCTTTTTTTCTATATCGCCCAGCCCTATATATTTCCCCTTTCTATTTTCTGAAGGACAAAATGTAACTAAATTATTCGAGTCGTTTACCTTTTAATCACATGACTGCTTCTTCATAGTTTGACAGGAAAACAGTGACCATTTGACTCAGTGGGGTCTCTGAGACCCTCCACAAGCAGGATGTGGACGGAAAGTTCATTATTTTTAATTTGGAAAAGTATTTGCATTTTTTTCTATAGCTGCAGGTGATCATCAAGATAAGAAAAGAAATAAAGTCCTGAAATATCTGTGTAATAAAATGAATCTGAGTGCGACTATGAATTGAATTAAGCGGTTCTTTGTCTTTACAAACAGCAGAAATAAACCCATATTTTTTGCTCTCTCCTCCTCCGCCTATGGAAACGCTTTCAGCATCATCGCTGAACTTGGAGACATGCTGTTAGCTTTATTTGAGTTCTCAAACTAAACACTGGGAAGCTTCTGAGACGTGAATGAGGTGCTGAAGTGATGTCCTCTATAAACAGTGAAAGAGACGTCTTCATGTTTATGGCTGGCTGAGGACATGAGGCTGTGGCAGACGCTCTTATTTAGCCTGATTGATGCACGGAGCAGTTAAAGCCAACAAACCCTTCTTTGTAAAGTCTTTGTTCCCTCTCTTTTTATCGACTGCTCTTTTATTCTTTCTCTTTTCTGAGCCACCAAGTCAGTCTGATGAAACTCATTTTCCTGCGCCAAAATATCAACCCACTCGTAGTTACAAATGTCACGTGCGGAATATTCCAGGCGACTGTTTGTGTCATCAGTCTTGTGGGGAAACATTTGGGTCTGACCTTTTCGGTTTATTGACTGGAGCCGTTTTTGTCTCCCCCTGCCGCACGAGCCGAGCTGCCCAATGCAACAGGAGGCCGCGGCCTGACATTTCACTCCCGAGTCAGGAGGAAAGAACGAGGACGACGACACGCAGCAGAACGTTTCCCTCAGCACATTCAGCAAACGCAGCAACATTTGCAAAACTGATGTTACAACTTCTTGTGGAACTTTGAAGGGCAGGTTTACAGTCCTGCACGGGATTACTTCACTCAGGTTAAGAAATGCTTTACTGATTTTCTGTTCTGTTGGCTGACAGGAACAAAACAGAAAAGTGGATAGTAATAAGTCGATTCTAAGCTTTCTTTGTTTGAGAAAACAGAAGGTAACCTCTCAGAGAACTGCTCAGATTTTTATCAAATTGACAATTAATTTCAGTTTATTTCTATAGCGCCAATTCCCAACAGGTCATCTCAAGGCACTTTACAGTTCCAGGGTTCCTGCGGGTCCTTAAAAAGTCTTAAAAGGTATTGAATTCTTCAAAATAAAACTAAGGCCTTAATTGGTATTAAAATGTCTTAAATCAGTCTTTCGTGGGTCTTATTTTTTAAAACATCAGAAATAGGATTATTTTTATTATGATTTATTTTTGTAATCTAAATAAAACATTAAAATTGAAAACATTTTTTTTTTTTTTATTTAAAAAAGAAATAAATAAAAATGGCTCGCCATTATTGGTTCCGTCCCGATAGCAGAACCAATAAAAGCGTTGTTGCGGACGGGACATTTGGGAGATGCACCATTAACTTTTTGTCTGGAAAATATGAGCAAGTGTAAATGTAACCAAAATTGTCTCCAGCCAAGAGTTTTCTCCATGGCTAAAACCAGGGAACATACATGAGGCACAGTGTATTTTGTGCAAGAAGTCATTCAAGCTCGGAACGATGGGAATTAAGGCAGTGGAGTCGCACATGCGAAGCACGAAACACAAAGCGTCAAAATCGAGTTACGGAGAAACAGACGGTGTTTCTCCGTTTAGTTCCACCCTTGTCTCTGCAACGCCTCCACTTATCACCAAATCAAACATACTAAGAAAACCATACAAAGAAAAATAGCTGCAAAAAAGACTTAGCACTGGTTATGTTGTGGCTTTAAAACTGATTTGTTTTGTTCCCTGCTAAAACAAAGTTTGGGAATTCAGTTAAATAATTGTTAAAATATATCTGTCATTTGTGTGTTTTTAGCTTTCTTCCTGTATGGGAAGCTTTTCAAAATTTGAAACATTAGTGCAGTGGTTAAATCTTTGGGTTTGGTCGCAAGCGGGTTTTTCTTGCGTTTCTTGTGAATTTGGTCTTGAATTTTTATTTCAAGTGGCATTAAAAAGTCTTGAATTTAACTTGCCTTATGCTGTAGGAACCCTGAGTTCACCAGATCATACAGTGAGATTGATCCAGTTTTCTATCTAAGGAAAACCAGTTGATTGCTTCGACTCATTGACTTGAAGGAAATCCCTCACACTAAGCATGCTTGTAGTGACTGTAGAGAGGAAAAACTTCCTTTTAACAGGAAGAAACCTCCAGCAGAACCAGGCTCAGTGTGAGCGGTCATCTGCTGAGGCCGACTGGGGTTCAAGGACACAGAAGCAGAGACACAAAAAGCAGCTGTACACCAGCTCCACAGGCGGCCCTATCCAGGAAACGCACCGCCAGGCAGACGAGCTCTGAGCCAACATGTCAGAGGATGGAGAGCACATCCAGCTAATACAGTCAATTTGACATGTTAACAATGTATATTCGTTTGGGTCTGTTTTCCTCTGGCTGTTTCAGTTTACCGTAGTAATTATATAAGGTTATTTCCATTTCATGTTACTTCTTATTTAGTTAAAAACTTTCTGTCTCTAAAACTTTTTTTCTTGTTCTTTCAGCTGCCTGGGAAGAAGTATGCTCCTGGCTACAATGAAGATGTTGGAGATAAACACATCTGGCTGAAGTGATTTCCTCTTGTTTCACCTTTGCTGTTGGCTGATCTGCCGAGTGAACTCAGTCGCTCTGTTGTACAGTCGGAAAAAAAACTATGTATTAAAGAAATAATAATAAATGTTCGGTTAAAATGTTCTCTTTTATTTGTTTGAATGCAAGCAGAAAATAAAGCAGAGCTGTTGGTATTCCGCTTTGTTAACAGAAACCAAAACATTTACAGTGGGGGAAATAAGTATTGGTTATCAATTTTAATAAATTCATATGATGTGATTTTCTGGAATTTTCTTTGTTAGAGTTTACATATGATTAAAATTATAGATCGTTGCATTCTCTGTAAGTGGGCAAACCTGCAAAATCAGCAAGGGGTCAAATACTTCTTTCCCCCACTGTAAATGAGTAGAGAACAAATTTATTCTAAAACTGGATAAAACAGAAAAATATCCTTTTATCATGAACCAAAACCTGCAGAGGCTTTTCTAACACGGCTCACGGTCATCCCAGCTACCGATCCTAGATCTCTGGTTTGTTTAACTCTTCTATTGTTTGCTGAAAGTTAGCTTACAGTTTTTGTAACATACCAAGACTGCAACAACAGTGCCACCAAGTGGTTGCAAGTGTTATCCTTTATCTTTACCTGCTCTGCTTATAGATTATGAATGTTCCAGCAGCTGGAGTTGGAAAATAAAAAGACGCAGTCAGTTTTTAGAAGGACCAGATGCAGATCAACTTATTGCTAAAAAGACGTCTATAAATAACACCCCCCCAAAAAATGTCACCAGTGCACAAAATGATTAGCTAACCTCCTGCTGGTTTAGTCACATAATCAGCATGGGAGAAGCTGTGAAAGAGTCCTGCTGAAGTCATCTAATTAGCAGGCAGATGTGATTAAAGTCGGTTCTTTTTGTTTCGCACGCTGCCATCTTCACAGTGCAGCAAAAGGTCTTCACCTGCAGGAAACTGCTGCTGTGATTACTCCTCATTGAACAGAATTATAATACACCTGAACATTAAATAGGGATGGATGTGTGCTTTATAACACGCTGTAGCACTCAGATACAGATATAGATCATATAGAAAGGCGTGATTGTTGAAGACGAAAGGGAGAAAAAAAAATCAAGCAAAAAAAGCTCCCCTCCGCATGTGTTTAAGAGGATATTTCTTTTTCTTATCAGATAAAAGCTTAGAGTTCTGTTTCCTTACTTTTTTCCCCCTACCGATTCAGTCAGAAATGTTCTCTATCTCATGTGGGGTGGGGGGTGTATGAGAGAAGCCTTAAGGACACTGAGGATTTTCCAGCAAGCATTAATAGCGTCTCCCAGGGTGTTGCCATTAGAACAGTTAACTGTATGCATTAATGTTTTGTTGAAGGAAAATAAGACAACTACAACACAAGACAAAAGTGTCTCAAACGTTGGATTGTTTGACGTATGTCCCCTAGTCTGATCCCCAGAGATCAGGTGGAGAAATCGAAAGGCAGAGATGGGAAGTAACGAAGTACAAATACTTCGTTACTGTACTCAAGTAGATTTTTCTGATATTTTTACTTTACTTTACTACTTAT